CCCCTGAAGGGACAAGGGAATGTTTTACTACCCCCTTGCCAATGAAAATTTGCAACCTTTAGCTAAAAAGGAAAAACAAGTACTTCCTCATACCCTTTAAAAGTAACAACATTGACAGTTGTGATTGATGAGGAAGTGAGAAATTGAGACAGAGTATCTCCAAAAACAGGTGTTTTCGGGAAAAACAAGTCACAGACATGCCTTTTGACTCAGGAAACATTATAGTTTAATTAGAAAGAGGGTTAAAATTAAAGTAAGGATTAGAATTAAATAAATAACAGTTATAATTAAAATATAAATGTTTATTATAGATGTAGGTATTAGTTAAATATAAGTAATAGAAGGAATAGGAAATAATTAAGTTTTAAGGTAAACGTAAAATTATACACACAATGTAGGTTTAAAATTAAATACATTTAGGATTAGAAGAAAGATTAATTTCATACATAAATGTAGATTTAGACATAAGTTTTGTTTAGAAATATAAAATGTAAAACAGGTGATAAGAAAATAGCAAGTAATATAGATAAGGCAATTAGAATTAAGAAAGTTAAATTTTTAAATTAATAGTATTAAGAATTCATAGTGGGTAAGATACGGGTGGTGATATAAAAGAAAAAACAAGTCAATATATTGCTGCTAAAAGTGTATATAAATGTAGGATTAAGAAAATAGATTAGTAAAGGAAAAGAAATAGAATAGCGAAGGAAAGAGATTCAGTTGGCCTAGAGGTCACAGATTGTGACTGATAAATTCTTGGCAGCTGGTATTTTGTTACATAAATAACACCACTGGTAGCAGGAAGGAACAAAATGAAACTTGTAAAGGTCAACTTCCCCATAAACAAAAGAAAAAACAAGATGTAAACATTTAATGTGTAACATGGGATACATTTTGTGGGTAGAGGGGTCAGTAAAAAAACTATACAAGCTTGTAAGAATTGAATAAAAATTGGCAGAGTCCTGAACTCTACCCCGGCAGGTGACTCCTGTCGTTCTTCTTCGCCATTCCTGATTCTCCCTATTCAGGCCCTGACTCTCTCCTGGAGCTGGACTCCGGCATATCACCATTTTGGAATCCTCTCAACTTTTCTCTTACGATAAGGAAAAACCTAAGAATGCTTGCTTTCACCAGTGCTATTGAACATTCTACTGGAAGTTCTAGCCAGAGCAATTAGAAAATAAAAAGAAAAGGCAAAAAAATTGGAAAAGAAGAAGTAAAACTATCTCCATTCACAGATGATATCATATATATACATACATATATATGCATATATACATATATATAACTCAAAGTTTCCACACAAAAATATTAGAGTTAACATATCAATTCAGGAAAGTTACAGAATATAAGATCAATATTTTTAATGGTTTAGATGTGCCCCCTTAAAGTTCATGTGTTGGAAACTTAATCCCCAATGCAACAGTGTTGAGAGGCAGGACCTTTAAGAGGTAATTAGTTCATGAGGGCTTCACCCTCATAAATAGATTAATGCCACTACCACAGAAGTAGGTTGGTTAATTACAGGAGTTCAGGCCCCTTTTCTCTCTGTCTTGCAAGCTGGCTTGCCCTTCTATCATGTTATGATGCAGTAAGAAGGCCTTTACTAGAGGCCAGAACCATTCTCTTGGACTTCCCTGCCTCCAGAACTGTGAGACAAAGAAATTTCTTCATTAATTACCCAGTTTGTGGTTTTCTGTTACAGCAGAAAAAAAGACTAAAGCTGTGTGCAAAATCAGCAGTATTTCTAAACACTAGCAATGAACTATTAGAAAATGAAATTTAGAAAAAATGTCCAGGCCAGGTGCAGTGGCTCACACCTATAATCCCAGCACCTTGGGAGGCCAATCTGAAAGGATTGCCTGAGCCTACAGGTTCAAGACTAGCCTAGGCAACTTGGCGAGACCTCATCGCTACAATAAATAAATTTTTTAAAAATTAGCCAGGCATGGTGACATGTGTCTGTAGTTCCAGCTACTTGGAAAGTTAAGGAAGAAGGATAACCTGAGCCCAGCAGGTCAGGGCTGCGGTAGCTGGAAGCATGCCACTGCCCTCCAGCCTGGGTGACAAAATGAGACTCTGATTCAAAAAAAAAGAAAAGAAAAGAAAAGAAAAAGTTTCCATTTACCATAGTATCAAAAAGAATAAAATAATATTAGTCATGAAGTTTCAAGAATTATATACCAGAAACTATCACACATTGTTAAGACAAACAAAAAAAGAGCTAAATAAATGGAAAGACATTTCATGTTCAAAAATTGGAAGACTTAATATTGTTAAGATGACAATACTTTTCTATGTAATCTACAGATTCAATGCAGTCCCTATCAAAATCTCAAGGCACTTTTTGGAAAAATTGAAACACTGGTTCTAAAATTCCCATGGAATCACAAGGGGTCCCAAATAGTCAAAACAGTGTTGAAAAAGAACAAAGTTTAAGGACTCACACTTCCCCATTTCAAAACTCAATACAAAGCTACATAAATCAACATAGTGTGCACAGACTGGCATTGAGAGCACAGAAATAAACATACATCTAATGAATTTTTATGTTGGTGCTAACAAATTAATGGAAAAAGACAAATCTCTTCAACAAGTGGTTCTGAGGCAAATTGAATTCTACATACAAAAGAATGAAGTTAGACCTGTACCTCATACTATATATGAAAATCAATTAAAAATGAATCAATGACTTAAATATGAGCTAAAACCACAAACATCTTAGAAAAAATACATAAGAATAAATCTGTGACTTTGAATTTGACAATGGATTTTCAGACACGACACTAAAAGCACAAACCACAAAAGAAAAAATAGATAATTTGGGTTTCAAAAAATTAAAGCCTTAAGTGCATTTAAGGAACTTATCAAGAAAGTGAAAAGACAGCCTATGAAATAAGAGAAAATATTTGCTCACACATCTGCTAAAGGTTTAATACCCAGAATATATAAAGAAGCTCTACAACTCTGCAAAAAAAGACAACCTAATTTTCCAAATGGGAGAAGAACTTGGATAGACACTTCTCCAAAGATGATATATAAATGACCAACAAGCACATGAAAAGAAAAGATGATTAACATATTTAGGAAGGGAAAAATATCATATAATTCTACTTACCTTCATTCTATAGAATAGACAAATTCATAGAGACAGAAAGTAGGTTAGAGATTACCAGGGACTGAGTGACAAGTTTTCTTGTAGTCATAGTTTTCTGAGAGGTTTTTTAAAACATGAGATGGTATCAGGTTTCATCAAATGCATTTTTTTTACATCAATTGAGACTATCATGTGTTTTTTTCTTTTTTCTGTTAATGTGGTGGATTTCATTCCTAAGTAAATCTCACTTGGTTTGAATGTGTACCCCAAAGTTCAGTTCACATGTTGGAAACTTAATCCCCAATGCAACCATGTTAACAGGTGAGACTTTAAGAGGTGATTAGGTCTTAAAACTTACACATGAAGTACAATCACATATGATACTTTACACGTGAGGGCAGAGCTCCCAAAAATGGATTAATACCATCATGATGAGAGTGGATTAGTTATTACAGAAGTGGGTACCTAATTTTAAAAGAAAAAACAATGAATGTGTCCCCCCTTCCTCTCCCTTACACTCTCATAGACTCTTGCCCTCTGCCTCCTGCCATGGAATGACACAATAAGGCTGTAGCCATATGCAGGTCCCTCGACTTTGGACTCCTTAGTCTTCTGAATCGTAAAAACTAAATTTCTTTTCTTTATAAACTGCAAACTGTATGGTATTTTTTATAAAAACAAAACGCAGAGAAAGATGAGGGGGATGAGAGTTATTGCTTAATGAGTTTCCTCTGGGAGTAATGAAAAGTTGTGGAAATAGATGTCAGTGATAGTTGCACAACATTGTGAATGCCACTGAATTGTATACTTAAATATAGCTAAAATGGCAAATTTTATGTTATATATATTTTATCACATTTTTTAAAATGTTAAGTCAATTAAATAAAACTCAACTACTAATTAAAATTCATAATAAACTCCACCAGGCACAGTGGCTCACACCTGTAATCCCAGCACTTTGGGAGGCAGAGGTGAGAGGATTGCCTTAGCCCACGGGTTCGAAATCAGCCTGAGCAACTCAGCAAGACTTCATTTCTACCACAAAAAAAAAAATCAAAAGATTAGCTGGGCCTGGTGGCATGTGGCTGTAGTTACAGCTACTCAGCCATAACTGAGGGAAGGATTGAGGCAGAGACAAGAGGACTGCCTGAACTCACAGGTTTGAGACTAGCCTGGGCAACATGGCGAGACCTCCTCTCCACAGTAAAATCCAAAAATTAGCTGTGCGTGGAGGCGCATGCCTGTAGTTCCAACTAGTTAGAAGCCTGAAGCAGAAGGATCACCTGAGCCCAGCAGGTCGAGGCTGCAGTGTTGTGAGCATGCCACTGCACTCCAGCTTGGGCAAAAGAGTGAGGGTCCCACTTAAAAAAAAAAAAAAAAAGCACAATACAAGAGCGATGTTCTTGCACCCTGAACCACAATCATTGATTTTAAAAGTTTAAGCCAATGCAGTAGAATATGGGTTGGATACTAACACTACATATGTTGAAAAGGAAGAAGAAATTTATCTTTTCTTTTAATTATATTATACATCAAAAACCTAAATAACCTAGCAAAAATCTTAATTATTCATGCCAGAAATTATTTTTTTTTCCTGACGTTCCTGGATTAATTTTTGGTATAATATTATATTAAGAACTGATAATGACAAATACTATTATTTGATTGCGATAAAGCTATCACTTCCCTTTTATATAGATCTTAGTTGAAATAGACTCCCTGAGAAATATAGCTCAAAAAGTCAATTTTTATATAATTATCAGTATACTTATATACTATCTGATGACTATCTAGCAAGTTGTTTATATATGTAATAATATTCACCCTTCATTTATTTATAATAGTACCATGAAAACATATAATCATTCACATTTTCATCGTCCAAACAGAAAATCTTTTTTACCTTGAAATTCTCTTTCTGCTTGGTAAGTTTGTTCTTCAGTCTTCTTTTGTAATTTTTCTTCTGAAGCATCAGTCTTAACAAAAAAAGTTATAATAAGTAATTAAAAACTATGTATCCAAAAACTATGAATTACCTTCTTTTAGAAAGAGAGCTAGCTTTTTACTCTCATCAACAATGTCAATGCAAAAAAAAATTTTGTTTCTCGTTATTTCCTGAATGTATCAAACTAAAGTCAGAACAATTAGTGGATCTGAGAGGCTATTGGGAACACCGAATAGCATGGAGGGTGACTATCCAATATTGTGACTATCCCTCATAAATAGTTCTAAATAAGTGAAGTTAATAATTAAGAGTAATATTATGATTCTTGTTTAGATTTATATTTTAGACTGCTTCAATCTTTAAACAAACTCAAATGGCTTACAAAATTATTTTTATTAGAACACTTTAATAATATCTATGATAAAATATATTGTGAATATATGTCAAGTATATACAGCCATTTTTATCTCTTCTCTTTTTTCCAGCATTTTTGCTGGAATTCTTAATTTCCTAATTAAATGTTTTTTAACAAAAGCAATTCTGATAATTTTAGATGCTCTTTAAAGTTATATAAAATTATTTCAAAATGACTGTACTTTTACAATCACCTTAATGTATGAAAATCCTTTTTGTAGATGAATCTATTTTTTTTTTTTTTTTGAGTTGGAGTCTCACTCTGTCGCCCAGACTGGAGTGCAGTCTCGACCTGCTGGGCTCCAGCAATCCTTCCGCCTCAGCCTTCCGAGTAGCCGGAATTACACGGATGCGCTACCATGCCCGGCTGATTTTTTGATTTATTGTAGAGATGAGGTCTCGCTGCCCAGGCGGGTCTCAAAACCCGCGGGCTCAGGCAATCCACTCACCTCAGCCTCCCAAAGGCGCGGGATTACAGGCTGAGCCACCGAGCCCAGCTTAGATGAATCTTAAAGCTATGAAAATTTATCTTATCTCAGGAATTATATACCTTTTAAATTATAATCTAAGCTATGACTTTTTGATCAATACCAATTAGAATTTTTATAAGTCAAAATTATTACTTAGATTCCCAGATATTAATTTCAGCATCTTAAATATAAAGCAATTTATGTGAAAATGCAAAATTATTTCCTCAAAATAAGAAAATATTAATGAGTTTTTAATTAGCATTTATTCAGAATATTGAAGAAGTCTAGTAATTAAAAATAAACACCTTTCATACCTTTCATATCATACCTTTTTTTTTTCAGTAATAACAGGAAGTGAAATGAATGATGATATCACTGTTTTGTTCCCTTGAGGCAATGTTCCTACAGATAGCGAATCTTGAATTTCTTTAGTGGATGATACTGTTGTAAATAATTTATTATGGGTCGCTGATGAAGATTTATGGGTTAGGTCTTCACCAACTGAAACTTCATTCGAACTCTCTAAAACAGCTGGTTCATCTTGAGACTTAAGGAGCTGTGAAAGATCTGAAATAGCAGGGCTAGATCTTTTCTTCTCTGAGCTTTAGAATTACAAAACATCAGGTATTAGATTATGTGAAGAACATTTTATTTATAACTGAAGTATCATTTTAATAATCTATAAGGGAATTAAACAAGCAATTATAATTATTTTATTAATTTATGGTAATACAAATATAAAATTGATGCTACATAACAAGTTAGAGATAAAAATATATCTTCTGGGATTTTAGATACATAAAACTAAGTAACTCATTTAAAATACTCCAATATAATATTTATTCAAGGTCACACAACAGGCAGCAGAACAAAAAAAAATAGTAATTTGGTCAGCCAAAGTCAAGCACAGAATGGTCTAGAGATTGCCCTTTAGTCCCACTTATTCCAAAATTATTTTTCCACAAGTTCATTTCAGAATGCAGTTTTGACATTAAAAGATTATCGTCTTTCACCAGTCAATTCCCAAGATCTGAGTTAGTTTTCTTCAAGGTAAGAGCTATTTTATTCTCCACCAGTAGTCACAGGATCAGCTTTACAGGTTCCAGAACTAGGGTGACCAGATGTCATGGTTTGCATGTACAATCCCAGTTTGTTTGTTGTCCTGCTATTTTATTTTAAATGACAATGTGAATGGTTAAACTACCTATGCTTTATATAAAGAAATTTAAAATGTTTTTAGACCTATGAAATGCAATAAGGTTTTGTGGTTTTCATTTTGAACATCTATTATTCCAGTTGCCTAATGTTTGTTGCAAAGTGTCTAAAATACTTTGAACTTTGGTGAGAGAAGTAAAATGTTTAAATGTAACTAGTGCCACTTAACCTGCATTTGTTAGTTTAGAATGAATTTCAAAAAAATCAGAGTTTGGAATATAAAAAAGGAAAGTGGGATGGGGAAGATATTCCTGAAAATAAAAGTGTTAGGTGGCTGTTGGTTAAAAAAGACGTATAACTTACGACAAATAAACTTTGGTAGTGACATTATAAAGCTGATTCTAATATTAAAAGTAAAGATAATAGATGGATTTCTGTGCTAAATAAAAGATGGCATCTCATCCTTAAACATTATTTATTAATTTTATTCGTTATTTAAATTGTCTAGTTCTGAAATAAAGCCTAACACTCTTTGGGAGACCATTTTTGAAGACATACCGATAAGACTGTTATGATTAGGCTATTGAAGCATAAAAATAGTACATATTATAATTTTTTTTTTTTTGAGTTGGACTCTCACTCTGTCGCCCAGACTGGAGTGCAGTAGCCGCTCCCGGTCACCGCAGCCTCGACCTGCTGGGCTCTGGCGATCCTTCTGCCTCAGCCTTCCAAGTAGCCGGAATTACAGGCACACGCTACCACGCCTGGATAATTTTTTGATTTATTGTAGAGATAAGGTCTCGCCTGCCCAGGCGGGTCTCGAACCTGCGGGCTCAGGCAATCCACTCACCTCAGCCTCCCAAAGGCGCGGGATTACAGGCTGAGTCACCGAGCCCGGCCATATTATAAATTGATGCTCATTTATTTATAAGCATACCTACAGTTATACACAAATCAGCAATCCTGCCAGTAATATTACTATACAGCTATAAGTAGAAAGCAAAATATTTTTAAAGATTTTGAAATGATTACAAAGGGACATCATTAATCACTTGATTCTACACAGGCAAATGATCTTCTTATAACAGACAAAATGTGTAACAATCCCAAGAACAATACCTTAAATACTAGCATGAAGTTCATTTATAAACATACGAGGGGGCACCCCCAAAAAACCAGAATTTATTTTTTTAAAAATGATGAGGTCAGGCGCAGTGGCTCAAGCCTGTAATCCCAGTACTTTGGGAGTCTGAGGCAAGAGGATTACCTGAGCTCAAGGACTTGAGACCAACCTGGGCAACTTGGTGAGACCTCATCTCTGCGATCAATCAAAAAATAAGCCAGGCATGGTAGCGCATGCCTGTAGTTCCAGCTTCCTGGAAAGCTGAGGTGGAAGGATTGCCTGTGCCCAATGGGTCAATGCTAGCGTGACTGTGAGCGTGCCACTGCACTCCGGCCTGGGCAACAGAGTGAGACTCTGACCTCCCTCCAAAAAATCTGTATTTATTCTTAACATGTTTAAACTTCAGTCACCTTCAAAGTACTCTTCGTTTGATGCAATACACCTACTGAGATACTTTTTCCACTGCTCAAAAGAGTTTTGAACTCGTCCATTTTGATTTCTTTTAGCGCTTCTGCAGCTTTTTGTTTCACCTCTTCCACATAAGCAAAATAGTTCCCTTTGAGGACTTTTTCTCATCCAAGGAAACAAAAAAAAAGTTGCTTGGGGAGAGATCAGGTAAATAGGGAGGGTGAGTTTTGGTCAAAACTGCATAACATGCAACACAGTGTGGGTAGGGGTTTTGGTCAAAAACTGCAGAACATGCAACACAGTGTGGGTAGGTGAGCTTGTAAATCACCCATCATGAAATAAACAAAGCAGAAAAAAATTCACTAAAGATGAACACAGGCTCTCACAATAATGCCAGCTGGTACTCTGATGCCAATGGGTTCCTAGAACACTTACCTAGCGGGGAAAGCCTATACTCTAAGGGGCCCACCCTCTAAAAAACAATTCCAGTTTTTCTGGTGGGATCCCCCCTCTATTTCCATGTTCAGGCATTATCTACGTCTATTGTCTCTGCATCCATAAGAGGCCACTGCATAACCACCATGATATTTCTGCTAAGGGGGTCAGGAATAAAATATATTAAAGGTATGCAAGCAGTAATGAATTCAAGCTTATGTCAGCCAAAGAGATGTCACTAAGAAATGAAAATAGGCATATTATTGATTGTTTGGATGGTGAGGAAGATGGAGGAGGAGGAGGAAGATGACAATAACAACTATAGAAGGTAGCAGATACACACAAAATAATAATGAAGTAAGTGATTCATACTGTCCCAAATCTTTGGTAAGTTATCAAAAACAACCCAAATATAGTTTATAAATCTTACTAAATTTTTTCATTCATTGTCTGCTTTAGATTAAGACTCTTTCAAATCATCATTCTGTGTCAAAATACAAGTTAATAGTATAATTATGAGCATGTATTAACAGCATGTTGACAGCATTCTACATGACAGTCTTCAACATCACTGAAATGGTATAAAGAGTAAATACTCTCCTGCTAGCAAAAGCATTTAACTCTGAAGATCTGAGCACTGTATCCTTTTCTCACTAAGCAAATAGATGTATAAGAACACAGTATCTTTATGCAGGTATCATAGATATCTCAAATTCCCCCTTAATATATTATGTCAACCAGGCAAAATGGAAAACCGCTATTAAATAATTTCCCAAAGAGCCCTCTTTTATTTTTCTTTCCGATGCTTTTTCAGGAAACTTCCATAGCTTCACTCATTTTCTAAATTGTCAACACAATCCCCAACCCATACCTCCCCCTTAGAAAAAAAACTCTCTCACAAGTATTGGTGTTATACTGAACTTTTAATTATCAGTATAAATACAGAAAAGAGTAAATTTGATATTCTTATCTACAATAATATAAGATGTATTCGTCGTATAAAAACAAAAATATCTAGAACTAAAAGTATACAATATATACAATGTTTATAAAATGATTCTAAAAATTAACTTTATAAAAAATTTCTATAGACACTGTAAAAGTCAAAAGTTATAAATATTTTGATAATTTTAAAAATCTATAACATTGGTCACAATATTCATAGTGAGTAGTTTTAGGCTCCTCAACTAAAAAAAAAAACCAAAAAAATTGTTTTTTGAAGACTCAGTAAGAATCCAGAACAATTAAGAGCCTGGAAAAAGAATGAAAGGTTAAAATACTTGGAATTATTTTACCTAGACGTAATACTAATGAACTACTTAGAAATAGTTTGTAAATATGCAAATAATTCTTAACTGATTACATTGCCTAGCTAAATCTAGCTCCACCAATAATGTTACTGATGAAATAATTAGAAAGAGGACTTAAACTATAAGGAAATTGTATAAGACAAAAGAAAAACTATTATAACACTAGAAAAAATAAATATTCATTAATGAGGATGATAAACATGTCTTTCCCAGAACCATCTTGGTTGATATCCTCCTTCCCTACTGGGTAGCTTGGCAGAGATTCTCAACGTCTTTCATTAATACCTGCAATATTGAAATGTGCCTTGCTGCTATTCTTCTTATAGATTTTTCTCATTAAAATTTGTTATATGAAGCTAGTGGTACGTGACTCATCTGGATACTAGTCTTTGGAAACAGAAAATTTGGGCTACCACTGAGAGGGAAATAACCCCACTGAAAGTCTTATACCAGAATAATCACTGAGTTGAAATGGCAAGTATCTCAGTGTCCATATTTTATATAGTCATAAGAGAGGACAAATTAGTTAGCCAAATTAGACAGGTTAGACATCAAGTGACCACAGAATTATAGGACACCAAAATCTCAGAGTAAATGGGATTAGCTGCATTGTCCATAGTCCAGAAATTAGAAGATTTCTTGGGAATCCTGAGCAGACTTGTTACAAAAGAAAAAATCTGGAGCAATAAGATTATAGGTAGGTAGTTGCAGAATTCTATTTTCTTAAGAGAAAGACAAAGAGGCCAGGCTCAATATAGCCTTGAAAAATTGGCATAAGTATGTCTGAAAGTTAACAGGCCAATACCAGAATCCTGTAAAGGACTTAAGAAAATTTATTTGATAAAATGTTCTATGGTTGTCTTGGAACAGAAGAGAGGAAAACTGTAGGGCTGGTTTTAAAAAATTGTAATGAGCTTAACAGAGTTACACAGTTAGGACAAATTGAGACAAAGGCTTTGGCTACAGCCCTGTCTTCTTCAAGTTTCCCAAAGGAGCAGGCCCCAAACATTCCTAAACTTACTATATACTGGACCTTACAGTATGTACACAAAAATGTTAACATAGCAGGGCTGAGATTGCTGTCCTTAGAAGGCTTGCTTGCAAGGTTGGCCCATGGCTGGCATTTAAGAACCTGCCAGGATTCCCACCATTCTCAGAACTGATGAGAGGG